TTTACAAAAAATTATTTCACCTAGATCAATATTCATAACCCTGGTAATATTAGTTCTGCTGAGTACTGCCATTGAGTTTTACTACAATTATAAAACCAAGAGTTTTGGCCGCAAACTTGTCATAAAACAATCGTTGTTAATATTCTCAGCCATCAGTAACACTAAGTTGTTATTCAAGAAAAGTCCCAAACATTTGAACACAATTAGCACAATATTACTAATATTTATATCATTGGAACTGTTGGGCCGATCGTACGTTCAGCCCGTGTTTTACAACAATATCGGTCTTCGGCGACAAAATACGGGCATAACTAAGGAGTTCTCAACCGCTAAGAAGTTCTTTTGGCTCAGAAACAGCTCGTATTCGNGTGTTTTACAACAATATCGGTCTTCGGCGACAAAATACGGGCATAACTAAGGAGTTCTCAACCGCTAAGAAGTTCTTTTGGCTCAGAAACAGCTCGTATTCGATGTCCATATTTATTCTGATGAGGTGAATTATTTTTTGTAAATATAGTATGTTGTCATAATAGTTTTATATTATTTTGTATTTTTATCAACTTAAAATATTTATTATTTTATAAAAATAATTGCTAGCTTTTAATTAATAACAAGTGATCGCTTAGATTCTGATCCATTCGTATTTAGGAATTTTTAATTTAGTATAATGTTATAAGTAGTTTAATATTGTTTACAGTTTTCAATAAATTACTAATTTATAATCAAGATGCATTATTAATGATTGTGATTTTCATTTATTTATATTAAATTTTTATAGTCAAATTTTCGAATTTTTTATTATTTTTAAAAAGTACAACAACTATATAACTAATAATTTATAACAATATTTATTTTAAAACTTTATCTATTAAACAATCAATTAAATAATCATGAAATATTATTTACTTACAGTGCAATTGTTTTGGCGTACAATATATGCGGTGATAAACGTAAATCCAAATACAATCCGTTGCATTATTTAAAGTATTTAATAAACCGATACTTAAGTCTATTTCGGCGTATTATTGGCCCCATATTACTGTTATATTTAATCCCGTTAATTGGTGATGGTCCAATCTGGCATTATTTTGAGCCAGTTCACGTGAAACCATGCAAACAAAATCTGATGGCATCGCTATTATTCTACAGTAATTATATGACGGGAATTGATAAAGTGGTTAGTTATTTGCTACTTACTACTAAATTATTGCATTAATTGATTAATAAGCTGAGATTAGTATAAAATATTAATAGTTAAAACTTTTAATAATATCGCCTTAATTATATCACCCAATTGCAACAAGTTTACAAATTACAATATAATTTTATCAATTTTAACATTTAAATTACAGTTTATTATTAAAATATTTATATAGTTATAAACAACTAAATTTTAATTTATTATTTTTTACCCACCAGTGTAATATGCCCAGCGCCACATTCTCAGCCATATTTCAACTGCACATATTTGCACCGCTATTACTCCTACTGATCAAGCTCAAACACGTTGGATTCGCCATACTAGCCCTACTGGCCTGTGTTGGTTGCTTTTTAAGCATAGTACCAAGGTTATTCATGGACTTTCGGATAATGCCCTACGAAGTAGACCGAATGGAATCTACACCCGAAATGACCCACTCGTTCATACACTACTTGGGCTCTACTGAGCAGAACATCTCGACATTCATAGTGGGTCTGGTGTGGGGTTATGTCATACGCTGTAAACCCGATGCACTCAACAAAGTGGGCAAAAACGGTGTGCTTTGCCTTTGGGTTGGTTTTTGCATTTTGCCCCAAATCGCCAGCGCGTGGGGCGAGACATTCAAAGCCACTAAAGGGGGGTTTAATGAGAAATCATTTTTAGTGTGGTTTCTGAGTGGGCGTGTGTTGTGGGCGTTAGGCTACGGATGGATTGTATACGCGTGTAGTACTAACCGGGGCTGTAAGTGCTGTGCAATTAAATTTTATAATGTATATTTGGTAATTATTTAATATGATAATTTATTGTAGGGATTATACAGCGATTTTTTAATTACCAGCCCATACAACCATTGGCTAAACTGGCGTTTGGTATATACCTGTCGCACATCATTATTATAGGCACCCGACTGTTGGCCATTAGAGAGACTTATGTTATGACACACTCAGGGATTGTAAGTATTAGTGAATTGAAAAAAATTGATTATTAGTTAGTGACCCGTCGTTACCGTGCCCAAAAAATAATTAAATAAATAAAACAATATAATTAAATATGTTTTAAAGGTTTTATTTACAGTACATAAATAGATTAGAAAATTTAATTATTAATAATAATTTATTATTAACATCGGCCAATGTGAAACCAATATTTTTCTTTGCAAATAATTTTAATTGACTAACTAATGTAAAACATTTGTATTTGCAGTTTGAGGGGGCAATCATTGATTACGTGATAGCGGTGTTAACGGCATATATGCTGTATATACTGATTGAATGTCCGATTTATCATTTAATTAAAATAATTTGCGGACAAAACGTGTCGGAAGTGGAGAGGAGTGGTGTCTATGAGAGGACTAATGGAGAGTCTGNTAATTTGCGGACAAAACGTGTCGGAAGTGGAGAGGAGTGGTGTCTATGAGAGGACTAATGGAGAGTCTGTCAGGGATTATGAGACAGACATCGAGATTAAGCTATATAAACATGAGCAAACTGTCGACTTGTAAACAACCATGCAATTTTATATTTAAATTTACTATTTTAATTAACAAATTTTAATTCATTTTTATTCACAAGATTATAATATTTTATAAGTTTTAATAGAATAATTAATTAATAAATATGAATTTTATAAATAACATTGATTGCCAATTATTTTATGATAATGATTAATAAATATCTCAATAATTTTGATAATTATAAACATTAATAAACATTAGATTTATTTAAAAATAGAAATTATTACAAATAATATAAAAATTTCCTGATTAAGATCTGACTTTCGCTAGTATAATAATGACTAATATAATCATGCTCAGATAATAAAACATATAATATAAAATGTTTAAATTTCTAAAATTAAACTTGGTTAATAAAGAAATTTGGCATACTTATAAAATTAAAAGAAGTATAAATAAAATTATTACACAATAGCTATTGGTGTTTATATTAATAATTTTTAATTTACAATAATAGTTTTAACACAATAATTTATTAATATGTATTTTATAAATAGCATGTTTGCCATTTATTTTAATTATATAATAAATATTTCAAAAGTTTTAATAATTATTCGCATAAATAGATATTAGATATATTTATCAAAGTAAATTTATTAAATTTAATATAAGACAATTGTGTCAATATTTTTATGTTTAATAAGCTAATGAATATATCTCATGCATGTAAATTTTACAAGATCAATAAAAGCTGTAATATAATTATAAAATTATATTAAAATTAATTTAAAACAATAGCTATACTTTTAAATGGCTGATAAACCAGTGTGTCTTTTAATATAATTAAATAATAAAATGGTATATTTCTATAATTGTGCATGTTTATTTTTATGCAATAGTTTAGGATTTGACGCAAATGAAACCCACGGTAATATTGGAAAATTCGTTCACAAGCCTAGGCCTATACACAGATTTTATTATTATTATTAAAAATATTATTATTTATTTATTTAAATAACTCATTAAATGAACAATTAAACCCATTTTGTCACAACCAACGAGACAAAAGTTGAACTGTTTGCTAAATTAGTGCGAAATCCGATCGTGGTCAAAGTGGTGGATAAACTGCGCATGCGTGTGGGTAACTTTAGTCGCGCAGTTCGGGTCAATTTACGTAATTTTGTGGATGAGGCCAAACAAGGAGTGTCGGAGGACAGTGTGGTTCACGTCCGCAACTCATTGATGGCTTTCATCGAGAGTCTAGAGTTGTCTCCACTCTGTCTAATGTCATTCGTGATGATGAAAAAGGCACTTGATAGAAATGAACGATGGCCACTTAAATGTAAGTAGTTGTGTATTACCTGGTCAGTATTTTAGATAAAATAATAATATTATAATTTAATTATTTATTTTGTATTTTAATTGTTTTTGTTTGAGTTGGATAATATAATTACCATATCGTATACATTTGAATTTTGCAAAATAAATAAAAGCAGTAATATAATTTAAAAATTATGTCAGAATTAATTAAAAATTTTATTGTTATATTTTATTGGCATCAGATCGTTGGAGTCTCTTTTCACTACAAATAACTAATAAAATTTTTTAAAAATAATTGTGCATGCTTATGTTTGTGCAATAGTTTACGACTCGATGCAAATCAAACCCACGGGACTATTGGAGGGTTCGTTCACAAGCCTAGGCCTATACTCAGTGTCTGGACATCGAGAACGAGCACTTCCCGGGCCTCAAAATGAAGGGTCAGTACTGTTTGGCCGTCAGTTGAGTTGCCATTCATGTATCCCAAGCCTAACAACGAGTCCCAACACAGGAGTCCATTACTGCCCGATAATAATACACTCAAACTATTGCAAGCAATCAATTACTTTAGGAAAACATATTTCCGGTTTGGCGTCTGTTTTCCCTCCACTTGTAATCCAAAAGAGATTAATCGGGCGTTGAATACAAGTATGTAATTTTAAGTTTAATTATCATGTTCATTATTTAAATAATTGTGAATAAATCCACTTAATCATGTTTAAAAATATATTAGTTATGTCTCCGAGTGGTAAACAATACGTTGAGATCGAGAAGGAATGTAATGTCAAGAATAAGGATATTATACGCAATTGCTATCAACGGACCGCACAGTTAGTAAAGCTGATATTGTAAAATGTTTTACGTATTAATTTTATTTTAAAAATTTTACTTACTCGTTAGATCAATATTCATAACCCTGGTAATATTAGTTGTGATAAGTACTGCCATAGAGTTTTACTACAATTATAAAACAAAAAGTTTTGGCCGCAAACTTGTTATAAAACAATCACTGTTAATATTCTTAGCCATCAGTAACACCAAGTTGTTATTCAAGAAAAGTCCAAAACATTTGAACACAATTAGCACAATATTACTGATATTTATATCGTTGGAATTGTTGGGCCGATCGTACGTTCAGCCCGTGTTTTACAACAATATCGGTCTTCGGCGACAAAATACGGGCATAACTAAGGAGTTCTCGACCGCTAAAAAGTTCTTTTGGCTCAGAAACAGCTCGTATTCGATGTCCATATTTATTTTGATGAGGTGTTTTACTTTTATATATATACTATTTAGTCATTGTAGTTTTATATTACCGTGTATTTCTATCCGTGTAAGTTAAGTCAAAATATTTATTATTTTTAAAAATAATTAATTGCTATTAATTAAAAGAATAAGGTGTTGTCAAGCCATACATAATTAATTAGTTACAATTTAGTATATTAATATAAGAAATATAAAATAATTTACAGTTTTTTAATAAAAATAATATATGAATAATTAGGAATCATCGTGATAATAATTATTGAGAATTAATAATTTTATGTTAAAATTTACTTCATTTAATTCATTTTTAAAATTACGACACTTTTATGCCATAAAAATATTATTATTCCAAAATAATTAATTAAAATAATATTAAAAATTATTTGTTACAGTGCAATTGTTTTGGCGTACAATATATGCGGTGATAAACGTAAATCCAAATACAATCCTTTGCATTATTTAAAGTATTTAATAAACCGATACTTAAGCCTATTTCGTCGTATAATTGGCCCCATATTACTGTTATATTTAATCCCATTAATTGGTGATGGTCCAATCTGGCATTATTTTGAACCAGTTCACGTAAAACCATGCAAACAAAATCTGATGGCATCGCTATTATTCTACAGTAATTATATGACGGGAATTGATAAAGTGGTTAGTTATTTGTTACTTGCTACATTACTAAATTATTGCATTAATTGATTAATAAGCTGAGATTAGTATAAAATATTAATACTTAAAAACTTATTTTAATCATATCGGCTGTATTATACACCCAATTGCAACAATTTAACAAATTATAATATAATTTTATCAATTTTAACATTTAAATTACAGTTTATTATTAAAATATTTATATAATTATAAACAACTAAATTTTAACTTATTGTTTTTTACCCACCAGTGTAATATGCCCAGCGCCACATTCTCAGCAATATTTCAACTGCACATACACATTTCAACTGTATTTGCACCGCTATTACTTTTACTGATTAAGCTCAAACACGTTGGCTTTGCCATACTAGCTCTACTGGCCGGTATTGGTTGCTTTCTAAGCATAGTACCAAGGTTATTCATGGACTTTCGAATAATGCCCTACGAAGTAGATCGCATGGAATCTACGCCCGAAATGAGCCATTCATTTATTCACTACTTGGGCTCTACTGAGCAAAACATCTCGACATTCATAGTGGGTCTGGTGTGGGGTTATGTCATACGCTGTAAACCCGATGCACTCAACAAAGTGGGCAAAAACGGTGTGCTTTGCTTTTGGGTTGGTTTTATGATTTTGCCCCACCGCCAGCGCGTGGGGCGAGACATTCAAAGCCACTAAAGGGGGGTTTAATGAGAAATCATTTCTGGTGTGGTTTCTGAGTGGGCGTGTGTTGTGGGCGTTGGGCTACGGATGGATTGTCTACGCGTGTAGTACTAACCGCGGTTGTGAGTGTAATTAATTATTTTATATAGCTTGTTTATATAATTTGTTAATTTATTACAGGGATAATACAGCGGTTTTTCAACTACCAACCCATACAACCATTGGCTAAACTGGCGTTTGGTATATACCTGTCGCACATCATTATTATAGGCACCCGACTGTTGGCCATTAGAGAGACTTATGTTATGACACACTCAGGGATTGTAAGTATTAGTGAATTCAAAAAAATTGATTATTAGTTAGTGACCCGTCGTTACCGTGCCCAAAAAATAATTAAATAAATAAAACATTATAATTAAATATGTTTTAAATGTTTTATTTACAGTACATAAATAGATTAGAAAATTTAATTATTATTAACATCGGCTAATGTGAAACCAATATTTTTCTTTGCAAATAATTTTAATTAACTAACTAATGTAAAACATTTGTATTTGCAGTTTGAGGGGGCAATCATTGATTACGTGATAGCGGTGTTAACGGCATATATGCTGTATATACTGATTGAATGTCCGATTTATCATTGAATTAAAATAATTTGCGGACAAAACGTGTCGGAAGTGGAGAGGAGTGGTGTCTATGAGAGGACTAATGGAGAGTCTGTCAGGGATTATGAGACAGACATCGAGATTAAACTATATAAACATGAGCAAACTGTCGATTTGTAAACAACCATGCTATTATATTTAGATTTACTATTTTTGTTAACATTCTTTAATTCATTTAATTCATAAAATTATAATATTTTATAAGTTTTAATAGAATAATTAATTAATAAATTTGCATTTTATAAATAAAATTGATTGCAATTGATCTTATTTATTTCATAAATATCTCAATAATTTTAATAAATATACACATAAATAAACATTACATTTATTTATTAAACTTTTATTAAAATTAAGATAAATTTAATATGCCAATATTTTTTATTTTAGTTATATAATTAATATATCTTATGCATGTTAATTTTACAGGATAAATAAAAGCTGTGATATAATTTTAAAATTATTCTAAAATCAATTTAAAATAATATCAATATTTTTAAGTGGCAACTAGATTTGTCAGCAGTACTTTTTAATATTAATATTAATAATAAAATGGTTTATTTACAAAATTGTGCATGTTTATTTTTATACAGTTATTTACGACTCGATGCAAATCAAACCCATGGGACTATTGGAGGGTTTATTCAGAAGCCTAGGCCTATACTTAGAGTGTGTTATTATTAACTTAAAATTATTAAGAATATTATTATTTATTAATTTAAATAAAAATGTTAATTTAGCAAAATGTTATTAGGTCAACAGGGTATCAGCACAATTATAAAATTCACACTTTTATACTTATTTTAATATGCGTTAAAATTAAATTGCATTACATTATTATAATATATAGTAATAACAAAAACAAACACTATAGAATAAAATTATATTTTGTATATATTAACCCTATTGACGATCTATAATTGCATGTATGAAAGTTACACTTGAAATTAGAATTAGAACATTTGAAGTTAATTTACCATATTATTTGGCAATATTTGTTTATAATTTACAAACACATTGAATCTAACAATATCGACCATGATATTTATAACTACAATTCAATATAAAAATTGTAGTTTATAGAATTAATAAATATAAACCAAATAAAAATCACATAATATTTATTTTTTCAAATTTCCAATTAAATTAAATATTTAAATTTGGTAAAATAAATGTAATATTTGTAATTTATGTTACAGTTTTTTAAAATTAAATTATTATTAAATTAATTTAATTTTTGTCAAAAAATTTGCATATATTCATTAAGCATATATTGCAACAATTGTATTACATGTCTGAATGCAATTTATAAATGCAGTTCATTTAAACAAAGCAAATGACCGCCGATTGCGTGCGTCTGTTGTATCTAAAAATGTTGTACTCATTGCCGGCCATTGCCTTGTATTGCAGAACGTGTATATCACCGGCATTTTAACCACGGGTTAAGTAAACATAAGTTTAACAATAATAAATTGTACGCCTGAACTGAAAATATGTTTTAAATGGTTTTTATTTGTTTAATTTTAAACATAAATAATGATTAAAAATTTTATGTAAAGCATTTGCATATTCAGTCCAAAATATTAAATTAGTTAATTTAGTAATATATTATTTATAAGTTTTATTTATTGTTACAGTTAAATGTATTAAATTTAAATATTTAGTTATTTAAAAATTAAAATACTTGTTAATGTTACAATATTTTTTATTTAAGTCATTAGAATCCGGACTACGTTTATCATGCTAACTCCAGGGTCAATTTGCCAGTATACCAGTGATATAAAGCGGTACGATAACAATAAACAAACTAGGGTATCATGCAAAAAATCGTCATCATGTAACGTTATTACATAAAACCTATCTCAAATACATAATTTCATTAACTGTAATAAAATATATTACTCTATGGTTTAATAAGCAAACATATTTGATACTATTATAATGGCTAATAGGAATATCTTTGAATAAAGATATAGATAAAGATATAAATATGGATATCTTTGAAGCTGATTTACGCATACAATACATACATATTGTATATTTTTATAATTTAAATAAGAAACCCATGAAATTTTGTCTCTCTTTGGGAAATCTGTACCAAAACTTTTAATAGAAAATCATTGTAAATGCTTGTGAAATATTTTGTTAAATTAATATTGTTTTAAAAGTTTAAGTTTAATTGGGCTAAATAATGAGTGAGTTAGTATTATCTGATAGACAGTAAGAATTGTCAGAATTAATTAAAATATAATATTCTAGTTACATTAATTATAATTGATATAAATAAATTTAGCATATTTAGAATATTATAATAGATATTTAAATTACAAAAATAAGTATAGATTTTAACAAGATAAGTTAAAGATCAAGTTAAAATAGTTATATTCTTAAAAAATTGTTTATTTTTAATTAAAAACAATTGCCTCAGAATTTGGGGTCCCAAACGAATTACATTAGCTTAAAATTGGTGTAATTCTATTGGTAATGTTATATATTTTACAGTATTCAATGAATGATAATAATAATTTATAAAAATTTATAATTTAATTTTAATAATTCAAAGATTAATTTTGAAAACAAAAACAAACAATAATAATTTTTCAAATTATCATTTCTATTCATAATAAAATACTAACAAATATAATAATTGTATTTAATTTAGTGAGAGTATTGACAAAATTTACTATTATTTTAACGTACAATATATGCGGTGATAAACGTAAATCCAAATATAATGCTTTGCATTATTTAAAGTATTTAATAAATCAATACTTAAGTCTATTTTGACGTATAATTGGCCCCATATTGCTGTTATATTTGTTCCCATTATTTGGTGATGGTCTTTATATATAAAAATACTATTTTAAAATTATAGTTTAATATGTTTTTAAAAATTTTATTTTAAATTTATCATGTTATTTTCGAATATGATCCATTTTGTATTGGTTTTATTTTAATTTACTAAATTTTTGTGTATATTTAAAATCATATTACAGTTTATTATTTAGGCGTAAATCAATTGATAAAAATAAACAATAACTATTTAAATATAAGTGTTCGTGTGAGAACTAGTAACTTTACTTATAGTATTTAGTAAATACTATTTACGATAACATACGTGTATCACAAAGTTATTTATTTCTAGTAAGAATGGTTTAATTTTCACATAATATTAAAAACAGTTATAAAAATCAAAAATAATACAAGAATTAATTAAAAATAATAACATAATTTATATTGGTTAAGAAGTAATACAAAGAACTAATATTTTTATTAATACAAAAACATTATAAAATGTTAAGTGATTGTGTGACATGGTAGGTTAACTTGTCTAACAATATAACATAGTTAAATTTAAAAGTGTGCAACGTAAAATACGTTATTTTAAATATGATATCTTACTATTATTACAATTGTCCATGTTTGTATTAATGCTATAATTTACAACTTGGTGATAATCAAACCCACGGGACTATTGGAGGATTTGTTCACAAGTCTAGGCCTATACGAAGAATTTGTGTTCAATTAATTTAATTAAATAAAGTTTATTGAAAATTTAATGTCTTTTACTGGTTTTTCATTGCTATCTATATCAATAAAAATTAAGCTAGATTAAGTTAATTTCAACTGTAAAGATATCATTATTTCTATTAAAAAATAATTTTTACAAAATTAGTTTATTATCATTGAAAAAGAAAAAACAAGTCTAATTATTTACTAATTTTTGCGCTTATTATTACTTAATTTTAATAGTAGGTTGTGGCTAAAAATAATATTGCCACAAATCGTTGCTTAAACAATGTTACGTGGCCATGTTAAAAGTTTTATTAATTTCTTAATTTAATCAGTAATTCTTAATTAATTAGTTTATTAGGATATCATTGGAATTCAGAGATATGGAAGAATCAGTTATTTATTTAATTTTGCGCTTATTATTAATT